GATGAAGCAGTTTCTTAATTACAATCAATCACTTTGCTGGTCCACAGCGGACTTGGAGATATGCCAGGGTTGACGTGGACCTTGGGGTCTCGAGAGGGAGGATGACTTCAAATTTTTAGTTCATTATTAAACAAAACCCTCCCAATGGCTATTAATAGGTACTCATCGTGAATCATCAAACCAGTAAGAGTTTCAAATTTAATACCAAATAGAGTCAATTTGTTCACATTTTGGGGAAGTATCCGTTTTTTTACAAAACAGTGTTAATAACTACACAACTTGACGTCAAAACTCAATGAGATTTCGAGGTCGGGCGCCATTCAGGCAAAGTCTCGACAAAGTCTCCGAGATATTTACCAACGTTAATGCAACTCGTTTACAAAAACATCCCCGCGGGGGTCGCGGCAAAGAGATACAATTCTAAAGGTGCTCAAAACGTCGTTTTTAAAAAAAGCTCTGTAAAATATGACTCCTCCTTTCATACAAACCATAACAAATTGTTATTTTATTTTCTAAATTTTTTAGTCACCAGTTTTTTTTAAAACTTGTCAAAAAAATAGATACATCAACACAATTCTGACAAAAATTACATAACGTTTAATAAATTGGATAGACATTGAATGAAACATTTTTTGACAAAAGTAAATATTTGTAGTGTTTCCAATCAGGAGAGGCAATGCGGCAATGGCGTTTCAAAAATTGTGAAGCACGTCGCGTCGCGTCGCGCTCGGCGGCGCGGGCGGCTGATTCACTTGAATATCACCGCGTGCAGCACATCGGCCATCAAACGTAAAATATTCAATCTTTAATAATAATAACGTAATAGACAACAACCTTCCTAATACTCTTTTGTTCCAATTCTTTGCGGATTCTACGAAAATACGAAACATTTTACAAAAAGCTGAGCTATCATAAAATGTGCTTATGTTCATTCTATCCATGAACACACACACCTGCCTCTAACAGTCCATATACATTTGTAACAAATTTAATTGATAGAAGCCATGTTACTCTCGTTTGATTCAATTTGTATGGATCAATATATGGTGTAATCGATTCAGACCGCGTATGTATATTATTAAAAGGGAGTACCTACATAATGTGAGATAATCTTCAAGTATTTAGTGCAGAGTTGCGCGTCCTCAATCCGCGCGGGGCGACCTCGCCGGCAACGGAGAGCTCTGCTGACGTGTAATCCTAACACAATGAGAATTAATAGAAACCTCGCTGCGTCCACCTCACTGGAATTATAATCGTCTAGCGATCCGTCCCAGCATCGACCAGGTGAGAGAGTATCGGCAAAGAGTACACGTGTCATATATTTAATATTGCCTGTGTTAAAATTGGACTAAAATTAAAGACCTCAGAGCATAAACATCAGTAATCTAAGTTATAATAATAATAATAACTGGACATAACGTACGGTAACGAACTCATTTTCTTTACATATTTAAAGAATCTAAAAATGCAAAGGCATTTTATTTCCCTATCTGAACTTAACCCGTACAGAGGCCTGTTTAAAATTCATCGAGAGATCGTTCCGCATCATCAGCTTGTGTAACGGCCTGTCGTATGATTTGTTGCTACGATACAATACAGCTACAGTACAAATGTACACTATATTTACATAAAGTAAGCTTCCGCACGGACACGTGTTCATCGGACAGCGAAAGGCGGAAGTTTAGTAAAGCTATTGAAATATTAATGTCAATCGGAACTTTTTAATTTTATAACTGTAAGCAAGTACTCTGAGTAGCTTCGACCCCAAGACATCGCTTGTACAACCATACAGACAAGATTAAACTTCCTTGTGGTCTATCGTAGCTTAATGTAAGCTCTTTATCTTATTACAATAGAATTTTCCAAAAAAGTGTTTGAGTAATAAATCGACTCAAACAAATTGACATTTTTAAATATGTAAGCAAGGGCGGGCAGAGGGCAGAAGGTTGCGGGTGCGGGTGCCGGGGGGCGGGGGCCGGGCGCAGGGGAGGGTGCTCGTTCCTCAGATAATTCAACTAAATTGTTTTTATGTTTTCAAAGCTCCTCGAGATTGCTTTCACCCAAGCCTTATTTTAAACTATGTATCTATGCGGGACTTTCACAAAGAGCTCGATGCTTTGGGAATCGAGCGATGTGCGATCGCTAGCTACAAATCGAAATGTTGAATACTAATTGAATAAGCAATGCCTATTTAAAGAAATAGTTCTGATTCAACGTCTGAGTATGTACTTGTAGCTGAAGACCAGCGCGGCCTTCAGGGTCAAACTAAAGGCCCCATCAGATAAGCCTTCTTGCCGAGCCTTTTGGCCGAGAGCTGATATTTTTTTAAAAGTTGTGTAAATTTTATTTTGTTGTTATTTGTTGTGTTTTGTTTTTGTATTTTTCTTGGCCAATAAACAGTGTTATACTTTATTTTATTTATTACTTAGTTTTTAGAGTTTATATTTATCATAGTGTCACAAACCTACATTTTTACTTGTATGACAATATGCTATAAACTTTACCATACTTAGAAGCACGTAGGTTTGATAATTAAAAAAAAAGAAGTTTTTGTAAACGTTTTTTTGGAATGTATTTTTGGTTATTTATTAAAATGTAACAAACGGTGTCACAAACCTTACACAAAGTATAAATGAGAATAGGTTTCTAACTGGCAAAGTAAAAATTATTACTGAAACACAACAAAAGTGAAAACAAAGAAACGTAGAGGAATATTTAAAGAGGGCTCAGAGAATTAGTTCCACAACCCTTGCCCCGGGTCGAGCCTCGGCCGAATAATCCTACTTTTATATTGCCTTCGCCACAAGCCTTTAGAGATACTCTTGTGATTTATTGATGGATCCTACTTGTTTTCACAAATATTCACAAAGTTTTATCGCACACTTGCATTGTTCGAGGCCGAGCTTAGCGCACGTAATCTTTTACTTTTCGCATATTACAAATGTATCGACGCAATAGTTTCTGCATTGATCAATATTGCAGTCAGTTTGAATTGATACAGGGTATTAACTTCAAACCAACAAGTATTTTCTACTATTCTAAATGTTGCAAATAACATAATTGAAATAGTTACATTTTTAAAACCGAAATATATAGTTGAAAATGTTTGTAAACATATTATCCTTTTCGTATTTTTTTATTTCGTTTTGTACAAATGTTTCTTTTAAAACAAATTAAGGTTTCTGAATGTGCATGACATTGCACTTTCAAATTGTAAAAACTGCTTTTGTTTCTTCGGCGTAATTTTTAAACATTTCTTGTAACGTGAGATAAATAACAAAACATACGTTTTGTATGGACGTTTTGACCGTTTCTCTCAAGGTTAGAAATTAAGCGTTATTATCAAAAACATCTATATTTTATTTCAGCGCCATCTATTATTTTACAATTGAAATTTCTCTCGACATCTTGTGTTTAAATTAATTTGACACAGACACTTTTACTAGTGTTACTAGATGGCGCTGTTCAATACTTTGTTAAAATCAAGGTTGGGTAAAAATATAAATATTTGGAAATTCGCCTATTCCAAAAAAAAATTTCTTAGCCCATTTACCATATTTGTCGGTTCCTCGAAATACTTTCATTCACAACAATTTGGCTACCTACAGCTGGTGTTCGTTTTGTGATTTTTTACTTATAGTTTTTCTTCATGGTAGGTAATAAAACAAAGATAATAATTTCCACGTATATTTATAAGAGAATAAATTAATTAGTGGTTTCGAATCGTTTATATGGCGAATAATCGGAAATAAATTTTTAGGTAACGATTTGGATTTATGTTTTATTGGAGTACACAATTATACAATATAAATATGAAAAAAAAATAATTTCAAAGCGATTACAGTGAAATGTTTCTTTTGGATGAAAATAAACTTTTATTGTTCTCCCTAGTTTGCTTTTTATGTTTCTAATACAAAAACTTTACTTGATGTTTCATTTATATTTCACTCTTTGATTACTTAAATAATTTAAGATCATTTATTATGACAAAAATATTAAATCAAAGTTCGAAAATTAACTTGATATATGTCATTATTCTTATTTAATTAAAATAAAAAAAAACTGTTTTATTAAAATGAATGAATTTCCTTAGAATTTAAATATAAGCCACAAAGTGTATTACGTGTATTAACGGCTTCTAGCTCTAATGTCGAAATCACAAATGTAACCTTACATCACGTTATATTCCTAAGGCAGTGAGCAGTATCAACAACTTCGCAGCGACGGACGCGTCTCGCCGACACAGTTACAAACTCTACCACGATATGTTTACACTTTATGTTTTAGGTACTTGCAAATTTCAATACATTTTGAAACGTAGCTTTTTGTTTTTATAAATAACAAAAAGCTACGTATCCCCGGGGACCGGACATTTTTCGGGAATGAACCTTATCCCATATGTACTCCAGACTTTGTTTTATGTCTGTGCCAATAAGATATGTTGAACCGTTGCAGAATGATCGAGTAAACAATAAAAAACTAAATTAATGAATCCCGCGAGAACCGTAACTAATCCCGGGATAAAAAGTAGCCTATGTGTTCTTCCAGACTACGCTCTAAACCTGTGCCAAATTTCATGGAGATCTGTTGAGCCGTTGAGGCTACAAACGCTAACAAACATCCATCCATCGTAACTTTCGCATTTATAATATTACTAAGATACATACGGAACGTCCGTCGTTAACAAAGATATAAATGCTAATTTAAACTGATTAAGGCAATTCATATTACATCAACCTTCCTACGGATTACATCCCTACACTTTCTCTATAGTGAGGCGCGTACAAAGCGACCCGGATGTTAACAGAAACTTCTAGACTAGACGTACAGAGTACATACATTAACAACTATAAGCGAGACTAGCCGTCACACGGGAAATAAACTATTATTTCAGAAACTGCAACCAGCACAATGCGTATTTTGTAACACAGTTGCGTATTTCTGTACAGTTTGCTTGTGGACCGCACCGCCGTATGACGGCTCCTAAATAACATTTCAAATCAGCTAAGAAATTAAACTAAGTAATAATATGACACAAACATCTAATGTTACAATACATATAATACACGTACCTTATTGTACACATTTGTTACACATCCTATACGGACATTTATCACATGATTTTGATTACGTGACGATCGCCGGAGGGATACATTTCTTTGTTTTAAGATTATATAAACAACGAACACAATACAGAAAAAAAATTAGGAGTCGAGGTGCAAGAGATAAGAAGCAGGAGTCAGCAAACAGGTCTAAGAAATGTATCCGCCGACGTCATCGCACAGTTACCAGTTATAATAACACGATAATTTAGTGACTTCATAAAAATGACTACACGAACGTATCTCACATATTTCTATTGATATAATGTAGCTACTAGCTGTAACATTAAACATTTACTACGTCTATTTCTAGTTCATTCTTTCAAGCTTTATATTTTTCTTAGACATAAGTTAGAAATGTCACAATTCTGTTTTTATGTACTTCTCTTGGTGACTTAGCTGCGGCTACATCTTTATACAATTGTTCCTTTTACTATAGACTCGGAAACATGGCTTTGCCAAACTCATAAAAAATCAATAAATTTTTGTTACAGTATTTTCTTTTTACAAATATTTAGCTGTAGCCGGCTGCCTGCAGGGCGCGGGGCGCGGGGCGCCGGGCGCAGCTTGCGGGCACTGGCTGCAACACGGCTCAGGACATGGCCTTTTTACTTACACTTAAAGCGCTTAAAATCTAACTCCATGCCGTGCCGCAGCAACACGTTCCTAGCGTGAGCTAACAACACGCCACATAACGCAATATTACAATATTGACAATGTCCAACTTCTTCACAATAAACAACTAGCGTTTCGATTGAGACGGCATCTCACACGTCCAGCGGCGCGCGGTGCGGCTGCGCGGGGTGCGAGGGGTGCGCGGGGTGCGCGGCGTGGGGCGCGTGGGGCGCGCGGGGCGCGGGCGCGAGGCGGTCGAGGGGCTCGAGGTCGGCGCGCGGGGCGCGGGGCGCGCGCGGCAGTCGCAGCGGCACGGGCAGCAGCTCCGGCATCACGCTGTGGTGCGTCACCAGCGCAGACAGCGACGCGAACTCCTTCGTAAAGCCCTGCGCCACAACACGCCCTCACTACACCGAAGCTAATCTCCGACGTCCAGCGATTGAGACGTATGTACACGTTGATAGTACGAATATTTATAGAAAAACTTAACCTCACACATGAGATGAAACTTAATAAGGCAAGTAGAATCTGTATGATGGGTACCTTTATCTTGTATCCCTTGGGCGTGCGCAGGATGAGGTAGTGCGCGATGCCGTGGTGCGCGAAGTCCCGCGGCACGCGCAGCGACAGCGCCAGGCAGCCTCGCTGCGTGGTGGACGCGCGCACCAGGAACGCGCCCACCCCCTGCGCGCCCAGCACCTCCAGCGCGATCTGCGCGCACCGCACGTTACTGCCGGCTCACGGCCGCACCTCACTACACTACCGTGTGTCTACAGAGCGCTAGGAACCTCTCGCGGGATGCCTTGCTGGAACCAGGGCGCGTGGCGCAGCTCGGGCTCGGGGCGCGGCGGGCCGGGCGCGGCGGGGCAGGCGGGGGAAGCGCCGCACGAGGACGCGCCCGACGACGAGGACGCGCCGCCGCTGCCGTCCGCCGGGCTGACACACACAAGCGCGTCACATGCAACGGGGGAAATAAATACTAGTGTCGCCAACCCAGTCGATCTTCGATCGCCATTTAGTTCCAAAATTACCTATTAATCATATTAGACTTGAAGTCGAAGTCTGCGTGCCTGTGCGCGGGGGAGCGGGGCGAGCCGGGGGAGCGCGGCGGGGGCGGGGGCGGGGGCGGGGCGCACCGCGCGCGCGCCTCCGCCTCCGACGCCTCGTTGATGTACCCGCCGCCGCTCAGACACAGCGGCACGTTGGTGGGCCTGACACAGTCACACCACATTTGCTGTCGCCTAATGAGTACCTCACACCGAAGACGAGGGCTAAGACCGGTGAACGGGACGTTCATTTAGAATTTCCCGTATTTATTGGCCGTTCCTCCTTTTAACCATTTTTTAGGTAAGAAAAAGATGAGTACGGCAGCAATATGAGAAGACGAGCTTTACACTCACGTGGTGGGCGTGTCGGCGACGAGCGGCGTGGAGTCGTCGTCGGAGGGCTGCAGCAGCGTGAGGCCGCGCGCCAGCCGGCGCATCAGCGGTGGCCGCTCTCCGAGCCGTTCGCCGAGCCGCTCGCCGAGCCGCCGGTAGCAGCTGAGCTCCGTGGGCGAGGACTCCTCCGAGCTGCTCGGGCTCGCCTCCGGTGGCTCGCTCGTTCCGCCCATCGCCTCGCATTGCACCAACGTCCTGGAAATTGTCTTTTCTTACAGGCGACTATTGTTTGTCGAAATTGACACTGGGTCTTTAGCGATGCTGATTTGCCAAGAGAAATGAAATAAACAAGGACGAAACATAAAGTCGACTAAAACAAAAAACAATTATCTTATCACCTGTCCAGGCAGTGGTGGGCGGAGCGGGGCACGGGGCGGGGGCCGGGGCCGGGCCCAGGGCAGAGGCGCGCGAGGCCCGGCAGCGAGTCGGGCGCGCGCGCACACGCCCCGCCGCCGCTTAGCTCCTTACTCTGCAACCGCAACACATACATGAACACACACACATATGTACATACTCAGAAATGTCGCCGTTTCCATTATTATGAGAAACCAATTGTCCTCCCACAAGTCCTTGTAATATCACCCTGTCACCACGCATCGCCTCTCTAACCGCAGATCGATTGGTCGTTTAATATGAATGTCCTTATGCAAAATGTTTTTAGTTACAGAAACATGTTTATTCTCATTATTATGACACTAATGTCAGCATAAAACCACCCACAATATGGGTTCCTTTGTTTTATATTTAATGATTGGATTTAGCGTAATCGTTTTTATTTCTAATTTTAGTCAATCCTTTTCCATCGCCCCTCTAATAATACAAAACTCTTTAATTTACGTTTATTGAAAAGTGGAACGGAAATAATGTCAGAAACAATAGAAGCTTTGTTAACTTGGAAATGAACAACATTTCGTTACTAAGTTTTCTTTGTTTAGAGAGGCTCGGCCGCTTTGAGAACTCTATACAACTGAAATTTTTATAAAAATAACACGCGATAAATGCAACACAAAAATTGCAACCTAGCGGGGCGGAGGGGCGGAGGCGCGGAGCGAGAAGTGTATCGGTTTGAAAGCTGCGAGACCACTGCATTTTGAACTTTCACCAATGCTCGCAATTCGCAATGTAAACAATTACTCTTTATTCAAAAAATAAAATTGAATGCACACTAACTTTATTTTCAAAAACAATACGTTCATTTCTATAGTGGCTAAAATGATCAGCGATAAAAGATAATGATTATCACTAAAGGTCATCGACAACTATTCCACTTTAACAACACTAAGTAATGTGGTTAATTACAGATGTGAGGCTTAGAGAGCCGTGCCCTCGCGGACACTGTGCCCCCTTCACTCACCGACATCGCTTCTCACCGTTGGTGGTATGTTACCTACGAGTGTCTTGCATTGGCATCAATAGAGGAGAAATTGTATGTGTTTTATATTTTACATAACACCAAGTAATGTAAGGTAGCTTCGTTTGTTGCACTCCGTTTTATCGCGTTTAATTGTATACCAATTTAAATGACTCGTAGTCGTTTTATACAATTTAATAGAAGTTGAAACGGCACAGCTATCTCGCTTCTATCGTCACACAAATGTTTTCAGATTATTTTAAGTGTTACGTCCACATCGGACCAGTGTTGTGTTGCGCGCGATTTACAAAATTAATATGCTCTTATGTTAATCAAGATGGTCTGTCCTGCACTGGATTAAGGTTGAAATTAATGCATCGTACGATGCTAAGGCGAAAGCAACAATGTTGTTATATTATGTGCAGTATTAAAATCGTTTTAAGATTTCCCCGAGCGGGCCAGAGCGGGGCTGAGGGGGGCGGAGCGGGGAGCGGGACAATTCGTAACGGAATGTTGTGTCGGCGACTGATTTATGTAGTTGTTTAACGCCGCGCGTCCGGCCGAGCCGAGCCCGGGCCGGAGCCGGAGCCGGGGCCGAGCCGAGACCCCGCTTACTTTTTGGGAGGAAAGTACGGACACGCTTTATATATTTGACTTTTTAATTGATTCGAAATAAAATTACAGACAGTTTTAAAACTGTGTCGACATCTGGATTTCTTTAAAAGTACCCATAATACAATAAGGGGTTATTTTCGGAAGTCCTGGAAAGTCTTGCGTGTTAGCGTTATATCTAAATTTGTGAGCTCTTATTGTCTCATTTATAGATAGATAGATAGATTACAATATTAATCATTAGTCAAACAACTAGAAATAGTTAATAGTAGAGTCGGAAACGGGGCAATTACATTTTATATAATTTCTTCCGCAAGTCGCGATACCTGCGCGAAACTCCTCCATACACCCAGTGCATAAAATATTATTGATTGATGACAAATATAACACACATGCTTATTGATTTAAAAAATCTGTAAAGGCTCTGGTGTGAACGATGGCATATAGTGATAACACGTGGTGTAGGCTCACGTACAAATGTATGATATAATCTATCAAATTGTGTAATGTATCTATAGTATTGTGCAATATTTCTGCACCATCTCATATGCGAGTGAGAGCGGAAGCAGTGGAGGCGCTGCCGGAGCACCTTACAGGACCGGCACAAAGCAAGTAGGCCGCCGCCCCGCGCCCCCGCCCCGCCCTTCACAGGCCCGGCGACCACGTTTAGGGAATGTCCCACATATGCCTTTGTTGCACAGACCTAAATTCAAGTAGCTACCTAAACCTAGGAGCGAAATAAGAGGGTGAAACGACATCTTTAAAAAAACTGCATTTATGTTCGATGCAAAAATATTTCGGACAGGTAATAAAATTTGTTGTACGAGTATTTGGATTTAATACATTGTACATACCTATCGTAGGCTGAAAACCAGCGCGGCCTTCAGTGACAAGCTGGAGGCAGCATCAGCTGAGCCTTTTCCTTTTGACCAAGAGTTTGTATTTTTATTTTTATTTCATTAATAATTGTAAGTTATGTTCCTTTAATTTTCTTTTTGGTCAATAAATAGTGTTTTATTTTTATTTATTTTATTTTATCGTCAAGGTATGAGAATGCTATATTTTACGCCTGCCTTTAGGGATTGGAGCTGTCCCGTAGAAGACAGACGTCGTCGCGGGCTACACTACTGTTACGATAAGTAAATCCTTTGTAAACCATTTAAACTCACATAGAATTACGATCGCTGTAAATTAACCGCAATTTCTCTTTCGTAGTAAAGCCCCCAATGTAAATACAAGGTCTTCATGTTTATTTATACGACAGACGATCACTGGCAGCTATTATTAACGTCGACGTGGGTCTCTGCCGAGCCTCGCGTGCCGGCGCCGAGCCGCGGCATCTTCGCCAGTCACAATATCACTGTCCTGCGCCCCTACGTAAATCCTTTGGAATAAAACGTCAAGGCTATCACGTTAGTTATAAAGCTAGCTAATAAAGTTCTACAAACATCTTGTCCGTGTGTCGCTGGTGTAAAACACAAGAGAGTCGTTCCTAAAAGTTTAATTAAATACGAGCAGCGAATGTGCTCTCCCCTCCCCCTCCCCCTCCCCCGGCGCAGAGATACAACTTGGAATCTCACGTTGCACCATTATTGTTGTTATATACTTTACGTTATAACTATCATTATTGTAATTGTCCTGTATCAACCAGCATGAGCTCGACATCGGCTCCTAGCGTATTCAACAAATACCTTATATGTTAACCATAATTTCTACCTACCCTTCTAAATTTAGTATCCCTTCCCTACAGAACTCTGTTGCCTCGGTCTTGTGATAAGTATTGTGACGTTGTTCAATCATGTTTATACGATTGTGTTGTAAAATTCTATGTGTGAAAAAAATAAAATCAATAAAGAAAACCCTTTTAAATTACTGCGTAAATTTAATTTGTTGGTGTTTTGTTATTGTGTGTTTTTAGCTGTTTTTAAAACACGTTTAACCAAGAAAAGAAGAGAAAGTACGATTGAATTTATCGAAGAAAAAATTGTCTGAATTTTATTATAAGGTTTTATAGAAGCGGGCGATAGAGGGCCATAACTGCCGGCGGGGGGAGGAGGGGAAGGGGAAAGTTGTGGCACGTTTCATATCAGTGGATGAACTGCTGGATTTCAATCCACGCAGGAACGATTAGCACTCTCCCACGAGGTTATCTTTCATGAGGGACACCATCAAAACGGAAGCCTATATACTTGAAAGCTAGTTTTTTGTTTATTTTCTTGTAAAACGGATTCCACTGGCATTGTTTTGATAAGTTTTGAACTCGTTTCGCTGAAGATATTATTTTACTCAATGTATTATTGAACTGACATAGCTCTACAAACGTTCTTTTATAAGCCAACAAATAGATAAAGAAAATCCCTATAAAAACAGTGTAAAAAGCACACTAGAGACGTGAAATAAAGCTAAGCCGCCCCTGCCGCCGCCCGCACCGCCGCCCGCACCGCCGCCGCCGAGCGTATCGGATAGCCATTTGAATAAGTAACTCGATTATGTCCGAGGCGCGACACCGATAGCTGATACGGTTTTATGATTGCATTTGTAAATACTACGTAAATAACTGAATATACAGCTTTATATTTATCAGATATTGGTAGAAAATATTTTCGGTTTCTTTCAGTTGTTAATGATACATAATTCGAGATAGATAAATAATTCCAATAGATGACTTTTCTTAACTTTATATAGATAGTTATTAACGCCTTGTTCTGTACGTTGAGTTAACCTTGCTTTTAATTTATATTGAAACAGACAATATTGAACAAAAAGTTGGCATCGTCCTCGGCCCGTGTCGTCCCCCTGCAGCCTACAGATCGCGTGTCGTGTCGTGACGGATGGTTGCTTTGATTCGGCATCGGTACTGCTGCGAGTCACGCCACAGCCTAGCCGGCTAACAGCCGCGAGACACGCGCGCTGACGATGCGACCTAACTGCGCGACTGACCTTCTTCCGACGACGATAATTTTCGACCCCTCCATGAATTACGAACGCTAGATTAATTCGCGGGCGTGCGGACACGATTGTCACGAATATCTTTATACGAATTTTTTTGTAGGTCACCTTGAAACAATGCGTATAGTTGGGGTTATTCACTAATAGCGATACTTGGGATGATCCACAACCGAACTGTCAATCTGTTCAGTTAAAACTGAGCGCAAGTTGCGGGCCTAATATAAATGTAACTTTACATCCCTCACGTAAATCAATCTGCCACAAACATTGACTAGAGATGTTCCTCTCGACTCTTTTATGACATCGAATCCGACGTAAAACAGCGGAAGTGATGTCACAATATGCGATGCGACGTACTCGTAAAACTTGTCATCGTCACGTCGCTGCGATAGACCTGCCCTTTCAGCATTGTACATACATTACGCGTTGTACAGTGCACAAATTGTATAGAAACAGATCCCCTTGTTCTATTCTCGTGTATGTTTTGTACAATAACACATCTAAAACGTTAGAGTTTAAATATGCTATCTTGTGAATTTACTTAATAACTTTACTTAATGACAACCTAAAATACTTATTAGTCACGCTGAGTTATTTCAGTTGCAAGCCAATAATCTGTTTTGTGCGGGGCTATATTTGTTGATTATTATAAATTGTGTTTTTGTTTATAAAATAGATAATTAAAAAAACCAGAACAGTGACAGTTTACTATAAAAATGTTAAAACTGTACATTTTATCCAAATTGACAAATGATGTCCGAATTCGTATGAAAAGTTGGTTTAAATTATTTGTGTTTTCTAGAGCACTAAGCTTAACCTTTTTGCATAAACGTAATGTGAAATTGCATGAAATTTACGTTTACGTAGTTAAACTTATTAAATGATATTTTGTATTATGCACTTTGTTGCGTAAAACATAAAGTTGAATCTTATAAGGCACGAGCCCCGCCACCGGCAGTCGGCTGGACAACTTTCGCACTCTCTCGAAAAAGTTCGATTGTTAATAAAGTTTCCCGCCGCGGCCGCGCCCGCGCCCGCGCTGCGGCGCTGCTAACACTTCATTATAATAAGGAACTGACTTTCAATAGATACTTATGGCAATACTTAGGTTTTTAACGATTTGTAAATGGTTAGGCAACCCTAAAGGAGCCAACGAGTTTGACTATGGCCTAGTCACCCCTAACACAAGCTCCGATCACTCAATGGGGACATATAGTGAGCTGATGATGAAATCATTAAAATTTTATGCTAGTCAAATATTTCAAAACAATTTTTATAGAACCTCTATCGGTTTCATGTAACATAGTGAACACAAACTTGCAGCAAGTACGATACAGATAGTTTAAAGCTTCGTATCAAGTTGGCAAGCAAAGCGCGCCGGAAGTAACGGAGTCTATAGGCTCTAGGCAAGGGCCCGGAGAGATCCCTATTTGCACTATATTTTTCGATTACTGCCTACAATCGATGACCAACTTGTGTAGTCGATATCAGATTAAGCTCTTTTGTTTATTACATGAGAGGGCGCGCGAGTGTCTTGTTCACTTAACAAATTTCACCGAAATTAATTATGATGTGAGTGGTGTGGCGCGGAGACTCACCCAGAGCGGCGCGGAGGGCTGCAACTGCGACGCGAACGCCATTCGGAACGCATCTCCCACCAGCGCGTTCAACTCCTCCGCCTGAAACATGCACGACATATCTTGATAAAAAAATCGAATCTTTGCTTAATGGAAATGGAGAATAACTTTGTTATAACAAAACTATTCTCCTAGTTAATTAAAGAAATCAGTTGAGTAAAACCTTTGCTGAAGCTCTACGAACTTATCAGAGAACAACGTTAATTAGGGAAGGAGTCGACGAAGCATCTCAACCAGGGGATTTTCTGTGGACGTGCACAGAGAGCGCGCGGTGACGGGTCTAATTCCTCCGGCGGACGTTAAGCGGGCACGTGACGTCGCCGTTACGACGGCCTTACGTCGACGCTCGACTGCCCCAATTGGGTTGCGAATAGTCCGTCGGCTCTCTGCTCTACATTAGAATTAATTAAGGCGCTCCCGTTTTTACGACCGACTGTGAAACGTTGGATTCCAGCGAATCCTGCAAAACACACTTCGTTATATAAACGAAGATACCAGGAACGCTAGCTTTACAAAAATAAATAATATTTGTCGTCAACAAATTTTTCAGTTTATTTTGTCCTTGGGAGAATTTCTCTTCTCGTCAATGAACTTACTTACAACAATGAGATTTTTTTAAAGGTTTTTTGTCATTCTAAAAACAGAAGACATATGGGGTCACTGTACTCGTGAGCAAATACTCAGTAGTAAGCAGCCTCAGCGTCGGCCCCGCCGCGCCCCGCCGTCGCCCCGCCGTCGCCGCGGGCAATCATTCAAATCCTGTTACTTACATAATAACATGCTTTAAGGCTAAGGTAACCAATAACTCCACGCTTCGAATTCCTATTATGTTTAAAATATAATGAGCTCTAACTCACTGTGTTAGGAAATATTATTGCCCAGCTATTTTATTTTATGTATCCGGTTACATCCATTGAAAAGTTGTTTGTTCGCTACCGGCGGCGGCGGCGGCGGCAGCGCCGGAGGATCACTGCTACAAATTGAAATATTTTTGAGATAGACAAAAAAGTGTCATTTGCAATATTAGCTTACCAAGTGTAAATACTGACAAGTCCAAAAACAATCAAATAAAAAGAAATCGTCCCTCGGCTAATAATTTGTCAATCGAATCGTTGACAGTATTAAATGGTGTGTAAGTGACAAGTGACAGGCTGCGAGGTGCGACTGACCTGTCTGAGTACTGTTGTACATGGCACGAAATGATTGACACGACACAAGCGATGTCTAGCGCCTAGTACGTAGTGCGTAGGCGCAGGCCGCGTGTAGGCGAATGTCGTCGGTATGCAAGTTTTCTCAAATTTTATAACATCTGTTGGCTCCTCTCTGATTAGTATAAGGTTAGGTTTGTAAAAAAAGGATAGTGCAATGTTGTTGGAATTGAAGAAATACAGAATTTTGAATCATCCGCTTCATTTTCTTGTACCCTAATTTAATTGATGGCGATCCCAACTTTTGCTGCGTCGACCTTTGTAAGGGTTTTTTCTTTAAAAGTCCTTTTCATTTGTATTTTGTTTTGTGATTGAATTAAGTAAATTTGAGTCAGCATTATCGTCCGACAAGCTTGCATCGTCCATTCGCAATCCTGTCGATTGGATCAAATCGTGTGCGGCCAGTGAGCAGTCGGCTGCGGGAAGCGGGACGCGGGATGCGGGTCGCAATTACATTACAAATCAATTTCGATACCATTTGTAATATCCAAAAGATACCTATGAGATTACAAGGCAAACATAAAAAATACAATATATCACAATAAGCATGCATTGTTAACAACAATTCTTTTCTGCAAGGAGTAAAGTAGTACAATAATGAATAAATCAAAACATTCTCGAAACAGTGAGGATAAAAAATACATATTAAGTAGAAGAGAAAGCCCTAAGGCAGTCGTATTTGGTAGCAGTGCAATTATCTGTTCATCAATGTTACTATGTTCAAGCTGGGTGTGAGGTGAAGCTGCCGCAGCGTGGTGTGGCGGACTGCAAGATTGCAAGGTGTTGTTGAAACTGTGGAGCGCGGATGTAACCGGTTCTCGGAGCCGCGAACCTTGCATTAAACTGCATTCACACATGCTTTTTTATAATAAACTTTATGAAAGCAGATAATTTCCTGAAGGCGTATATTTAAAAGAGATGTGTCCATGCGCCACTCCCTTTGTTTTCGATCACAGCGACGACTATTCAATAAGAAATAACTATAAAGCTGGGACCAGACCGCTGCGCTCGTACGGCCGCAATGTGTCCGCGCCCTAACAGGATTGCGAATTGCGATCGTTTCATTTACATTTTATTCGCTCCCCCGTCCCCCGTCTCCCGCACCTCGCGCCCCGCACCCAGCGCCGCAAACTCCACGTAATTCAATCGCGTACTGAGCGAATAAGCAAGGGCTGAGCCACAACTGAAACAGGCTCACCAGTAACTATTTTCTGCGTACCCAAGGCCATAGGTGATTACAGTATCAAATTATGTACATAATGCTGTCGTCACAACCGAATGGTGACGGAATTAGCTTTACGGTATCTTAAAACATTGGATCCAATTAAGTAACGGGTTTCCTGTTCGTGCAGAGGAAGGGAGGTGGTAGAATATTCCTGTCAGAGTCGGGAGCTGCCGGCGCGTCCTGCCGAGGACGCGGGACATTCTTCATTCCTGATTTATGACCTTGTTTCAAACTGTCAAAGTCGGTCGCAAGTTGCAAGTTATTACGTATAATTTGAGAAAGTACGAACACTTTTCAAATTTGTTTTTGTTTATTCCATGCTCATGGGAGCTTTTATTTAAGCTTGCATATTAACATTCACCGCATTTTGTAACATTCGTACATTATGAAATTACTTTTACATTTAATACTTTATTGATGTTGTTTGATTTCGTACTATTACTTGTCTTCCTGTAAAAATTGTGATCCTGACTTTGCTTGTTTTTTATATGTTTAGCACGTGTGTGCTGGTGCGGTGCGCGTGGTGCGGAGAGCAAGGCGGGGCAGCGCCGGTGGTCCGCCGCGTCATAAACCCGGTGCAGGCCATGTGCGTCCTGTCGCTGCCCGCGTCCGGTGTACACTCAAATACATTAACTAAGTTTAAAAGACAACGCGGGGACAGAGCGCGTCTCAAAACAAACATCATGTAATTTTCTGACATTTGTGAAACCTGTGCCTGTGGCAACATATTTAATTTACGCAAAAAAAAAATGTTCGTAAACTTTTATTTATACTCATGAGAGATTTATAATTATTCAAAATTATGAGCATGTTTGATTTGTTAAAATGAAGTTATTAGACGGAAATAAATCCAAGCAATGTTTAGAATGACTATTAAGGGACCACTTGTATGGGCGAGAAACGCGTCTTGTAATTGCCGCAGTTAATTGAGTTCAATTCAGTTCGAATAAGAACAGAACACAACAGAAAAACAAACAGGTTTTTGTGGAGCGCTGCCAGTCTCATACACACGTAGCACTCGCGTAAAAACCAAAGCACTTGATTAGTAATCTATGTAATAAAGCTTACTTCATTTAAACTTTTGCAATTTGGAGCTCAGACCTCTTTTACTAACATTTTAAATAAATATAGCTTCATTGGTAAGTTACGACCAACAAACGATACTGTAAAGCATTTTTTAAAGATTCCAATTTGAAAACTAAAAAACAAACTTGATTTAAATACCATTATGTTGACAATAAATACCGAAGATAGACTTTACCTTATTTGTACATCGCAAAATAATGTGACGCGATCAGAAATTTAAAACCACGCGGCAAATTGTGAATTCTGTGAACGGAACTGATCGTAATAAAATATACAGAGAGGCTCCGCGCAGGGCCGGACTCGCGCTGCCCGCTGCCATACAAAGATACTCAATATACATACAAGTGGACACACAAATGTATTTAAATATATTATTCATTTGAAGAGACAACAGTCGCTTACATAACAATTCGTATCATTTTCAGGGATTTCGGTGAAAAACATTATTTTTATAAAAAAAATAATCAGCAACAAGTTTCGTTTACGTAATAGAGGTTAACACTTATGACGTTACGTAACAGTACCATGCATCAAGATGGCACGTCAGGAACAAGTACTCTTCTTCCTGGTGTGCCAACTTAATCGCAGTCTATAAATAACACCATTTGAACATACATTAACGAAAGGTATAAAAATAATGAATGGTTCCATTAAGCTCAAAGCTCACCAAAGCTCGGATGTAATAAGTCTTGTATCAGTCCACGTGGACCGACACCGCGGCCATAAAAACTATTTCTAGTTTGTGACGCTTTGATCGCGGACTGGAACTGACGTTGGATGACTCTTACTTTACTCACGTCTACTTCCGAATGATGATAATACTTTGATGTTCTTGTCGCATAACTTTACACTTAATTCTACATACAATTAGTTGGGGGAAAGTGACTTCTCGAATTGACAGAAAGAGAATGAATATATTTTTATCATATTTACAACACATACATATTTACACATTTTTGACAATATTTACCATTAATGAAAAAAAAATTTTACCGAAAGACGGCAAAAACTCTGTACTTTCATAATAATATTTTGATTAGTATTCAGGTAGACGAAGGACAACTAAAACGTTATAGCGAGAGATCTGCGGCTAATCTAGAATAGGGTCAGGACCAGCTGATAACGTAATTACAGGTGATTGCGGGAAATGCGCGGGGTCGGGGCGGCGGCGGGGACAACTCGCCCTATCATCAGCAAAGCAATAAACACAGGGCCGAAGACAACACGTACGCAACTAATGTGGCGTATAAGTTTTAATATAAACAAATCCTCACATTAACACTTATAATAAAAAAGGTTACATAACGATTTTTAAAACTTTCAATGAATCAATTCGACATTCATAATTATATATTCAGTTATCACATACCATTAGGGACGGTATCCATATGGTATGCGGCGGGGAGCTGATGGACTCATTAAATCCATTAGTTCCGCTTGCTTCCCCCCCCCCGCCCCTTTTCCATAATAACGACTCGTTTTTTGTAACAACCGTAAGTAATTCAGTTATTCCTGGCGCTGACTCATTGTGTAATCATACTTTGTTAAGTGGCGATGAAACTCAGTCGCTCGAGTAAGTGATTAACGAGTATGTATAAGTTTTTTTTAAGTATAGTTAAGTTTTTATAATGACATAAATATACAAGTGTTAAACGTCGAAATGATATTGTGCTGAGGTCGGCGCAATCTGATCCCTGCTGTGAGCGCGCACCGCCGCTGCCGCGTTCGTCGACCAGCAGTTTTCGCGAAATTCGCCTCCCACCGCCCTGTCCTCACCCCGCCGCCCCGCGAACCTTACATGCTTAATTGCACACTAAATCTAACGATAACGTTACGAACAAACGTTAACTCATTTAGTTATTTAGTTATTTAATAACAAAGCGAATGTAATCTCTCAACGTATAGTAGCAGGTACACCACGAATTAACTTCAGTGATGTACAAAACTACTGTAACATAAGAATGTGCGATTTGAGAATTTGTTAAAAAAACCTCAACGCTTTATTATAATCGGAATACGCAGAATTTGCCTTAATTGTAAAATGATGTCGTAAAATTAATATTCTAAATTAATAGGAGCCGTAGATCACATGTGCGCCAGCTGCCGGCTGGAGGAAGACGTTATGTGCCAACCCCCGCCCACACCCCGCTCACACCCCGCCCGCACACCCCTGAACCACTACCTACCAAAACCTATTGTTTTTATAACAACTAATCCATTGTCACATACGATACACAACCTATTAAAATGGACTCAATAAGGCGTAAAACATACATATTAAAATTACACGGAAATTCTAACAATAAGGCAAATTTTCTCAAGTAACATGTACATAAACGTACTTTTCGAAGAATAGCACAAGTAATTGCAGGCCGCAAATGCGAATGAATAACAGTAAAAGTGCAATAAAGCAGACGTAGAGTTAACCGTAGCATTTGAAAGAGTAGACAATAAACAGCGCATACGCGGACTGAGCACTGCAAGAACTAATCACTTTGATGTGCCGCGTGGGCTCGCAAATGCGACCTGTGTGCGTTGCTAGTTGCTAGGTACGCAACACGCGACACGACTCTCCGAAATTGACAAACGTCACCGTCGAGTCGCGATACGTTGTTTTTGTCCTATTTTCTGATGAACTCTTACCTTAGAACAGCAAGATACGCAATATCTACAGAAACAACAACACAACTTAAAGCTCTTGGTGCTACAATTACATATACATTTGTGTAATTATGATAAATCTTTTAATCATCTTAAAGAAAGTAAATTATTTGTGCCTCACCGCACAACTTGCAACACAGATGTAAAGCGGCCTGAGAAGGAATACCATAGTTGAAAGCTGGCCGCTGAATGTCAACCACTATCAGTTATAAGAACAACCAACAACTGGTTGTTATTAAACGACTTTGCTTTGCAATTTCATATAGATATAAGCCTATATGAAACTCGGATGTTGTAACAAGATCAGAACAATATGCATATAAAATGAGCAGTTCTACGTCAATTTAATAAATGCAATAAAAATGCTTTACTGGGTATAAGTTAAAATGGATTATTTTTAACTTAGGTAGTGTTCAATTTTATACCATACAAACGTCGGCTCCATTGAAATTCAAGACTCATCTCTAAATGTATTATAAATTTGGGCCCCGCAGCGGACAGGAGGCGACAGGACGCGACACTTGATCCCATTCGATTGTTCTCCGCAACTCAAAATTCTCATAATAATATTTCCGAGAGAACATTCACATATCAAACAGATGACGTTTCCTCGCGAAGTGCCGCGGCTGCAGCACAAAGAACGAGACCAGCTTTTAAATTAATTGAACGCACTCCATATTTATTTTTCCTTTTAAATTATAATAACCTATTTGTATGAGAATATGAAGAAGAGGATTAACTTGAAACGGATGACAGTATTTGGTATAAATGTAAAACGATAGCACATCAAGACTAAATTACAATACTATAAGCCGCAAAGGATAATAAAAGTTATCTGATCCACACAAAGAGATATTCACTACTACGAAGTTAAAGATAAGCTCTTTACATAGTTATTAGTTTAAGTAAAAAAAAGGTAAGAGTTAACGCGAACAAAATTTAACAACAAGTGGAAAATTAAAAGATCAGGTAGACAGAGTGCCACCCCGGCGCCCGCGCCCTCGATGCTTTGTATTGTTTATCTAAGCCTGAGCCGAAGCCGGGGATCGGATGCTAATCAAATTTTATTGTTCAAACAAACAAATCTTTTGTCGCAAGCGGGCCTGAGTAAGTTTGGCTTATAATTCTTTTGTGTAATACTAACAGAGTTTGCGCTAACCAAGTTACCCAAACAGAAAATATATTGACCTCTAATGCTTATATTGAAAAATTCGTAAATATAATAAACAAAGAAACAATAAAACGGGTCTTAGTACAGCCGACATGCAGGGGCTTGAACTTACATACCGGCGCAAAGGTCCCACGAAGCGCGAGGTGCGCGTGCGCCGGCGCCCCGCCTGCCCCGTGCGGCTCCCGGCGCGCCCGGCAGCCCGGTACGCGGTCACCCACACCTTATTACACTAACACTGACACTATAACATGCACCCAAAACTGAACTATCAATCATTCCAAATGCATCGCACTCCGACACTCGTGTAATCGATACTTTAAGTTAGTGTACACGTCCACTCTGAACGAGGATCCGTTAGCGACTGAACCGAGTTTTAGTCGAGTGCTAATGGTAAACTGGTAAGCGCGCGTGGTGTGCGTCTCATCGGAACCCGTTCCCGGGCGCGCTGCGAAGCCTGCGGGCGAGCGCGCGACACCGCACAGCGCGGCCCGTACGCTTGTATAGCACCTGTGTGCAGTGCTGCACTAAATCGCGCGTTTTTATTTTTTCCTTTCCAAAGCGACGCACCTTCAGCGTCCGCGCCCTCTCACCGGTCGATGACCCGTGCGGGACTTCTTAACTAATTTAACGAACATATGGCTACCGAAGAATGTTTACATTCGACGACGATTTATTTTAAATGGTCGCAATTTCCATACACATTGCAGGAGCACTGCCACAACAGCTGAATGGGCGTCGGCTGCTGTATACTAGTGATTCGCAGCGAAAGCGAGGGCGAGAGATACTGTGCCGGCTTTCTTCGGTAACAGAAGCGTCTAGCGCGGAATGTGGTGTTCTCCGCGCGCCGCCGTGGCGCTCCGGCAAGGTCACCGTGCGGAATGCACCGCCACGGGGTGACATACATTCCACTGAAACTGATAGTTTAACATCGTAACTATGGACCTTAACGCTCGTGCGCTTTAGTGTCACAACACCTGTAACATGTCACAATACAGAAATTGCGAACTTCTTTTTCTTATCTTACAATTGTCGTAAATAGCATTTCATAGTGGTCGTGTTATACTAGCCTTCTTCAAATCATTAGGTCAGGCGACTTGTTAAATTGGTCAACTTGAGTACCTCTTACCTTTATCTTCGTGACATGTTTTAAAATTTACTAAAAATATTGACTAGTTACATTGAATAATCAGTTTAGGCCCATTGGGGCCGTACACCGTACAATAACTAATTCATAATAATACTTATCACAATATCTCGTGACCAGAGAACGTGTCGTTATAATAAATATAAAAACCCGAAGCTTTTGCGGTAGTGTCACAGTCTGCTTTAACAGACAGGACATCGTTTCATTAGGGAGAGAACATAGCGAGTCTGCGAGTGCGACTGGCTGTAAACACTGTACATCTGTACTGTGCTGTAGTAATGGTATTTCGCTCGCGAATTCATAACTGAAATATTGCAACTAGTTTAATAAACTTTTTTCATCACAATAGAAACGAGAATTGCAATGGACCTAACATAACTTTCAAGTTGGTAAGTACTATTCTCCTTCTAGTTGGAACGATTACGAAGCAATTCGCTTCGAGTTCACCGACCGAGGACTTAGAGAATAGTAGTACTATTTCGAAACAATATGTGTGTTAATTAATAATAGAAGTAACATGAACAATTAAGAGAGTGTTGACTTAGAGAGAGCGCCTTGTCATTAGATAACCGTCGCGGAAGGCTTTGTGCGGTCCTAATAGTAGTGCATAAAACCGGTACGGCAACAAGTGTTCTTACAATTATGTTGTTATATATGCAAAATAAATAAATCTCTAATACCAAATGTAGTATGCGCGTAATAAGTAAGTAAGTATTTTCAAATATCCTTTTCACATTTATATTTATGTAAAGTTCAATCGCAGTACCCAAGCTTAAGCTCTTTGTGCACGTTTCAACAAACTTTGTGGAGAATAGAAATATATTGTCGTCGGCAAAGATTAGAACTTTAGCTCTGCGTCTGCTGCAGGCATCGGCGCGAATGGTGCGGGGTGAGCGGCGCGGGGTGCGGCGTCAAGGGCGAGGGGCTTTGACAATGTTTAGGCGCCATAATCTCCAGTGCAATTCAACTACGATTACGATCTATAGCCATAATTGATAGGCAGTACTATTGGAATTTTAATACACCTTTGTAACGTGAGTCGCACCGTTGTATAGTAAGTCAAAACAAGAGATGTATTCATGGAGCTACTGAGTTTTAGATTGTTGTCTTTGAATTAAATCGGAAACGGTACAAATCTCTTCAGCGATTTGTTATTGAGACGTTGCCAGGTTTATGATTTCTGGGCACTTCAGAGAAAAACCGCGAGGTAATTTATAGTAATGCACTGACCTGTTGTGGCGTGTCAGTTTCGAAGGCGTGGCAGTAGCGGCGGGCGGGGTCGCCGCGCGGCTCGCGCGCCACCAGCGCGAACAGCGCGCTCGCCGGGGCACACGTCGCGTGCGAGATGCGCCGTAGCGCGTGCCGCATGCGCACTCTCTGCGCACACGCAACCAACACCTTACAGTGGCTTAGATGTCACAGAATGTATGCGCCCTTCCTATATACGAGTATACTGTGTGAACGACTTCCTTTTCAGACCTTACTTTCTGAGTTGTTCCCAATAACACTAATTGCATAAAACCTTTTCAAAGTAAGGAACGATACATAAAACTATGTTGAAGTTTGCAAATAGTATTTTATAAGGTTTCGTTTCATAACTATTTAATAACTATAAAGTGTATAAAGTATTCTCTCTGCACGTTATTTTGTGGTGAGGTTCTTCGACACTCTTCTCGAGGTTGACGCGAGCAAATTTAAAATTGAAATCATCTCGACTGTGTGTCGTCTCTTCGCTTCAATATGTAAAAGCTACCAGAAATGGGTCAACGACGTCATGCACTGCGCTTCTTTACAAAACCTTCTCCGTTGCATTCGCAAAATATTCTACTTTAGTTAATGTGTATTTTAAAACAAAAAAAAATCTGTACTAAAGGGCAATGTAAATTTATGTCCTCATTAAACGTTTATTTCAGTATCTAATCCATCAGCGCCGATGTATCCTAATTCTAAAGCAGCTAATTTGTAATATGAAGATGAGGGTAGGTAGTGTGTTTCTGTTAATGCAAGAGTAGCAAGCGGTGTGCAGTGTCGTTGCAGACCTGGTCGTGAGCGTCGCGCACGGTGACGCCGCCGCGCGCCACCTCTAGCAGCACGGCCGGTGCGCAGGTCTCCGCAGCCCGCGCCCTCTGCACATACCATGCCACACCTCGGTCACGGCACTCACGTTAACACTATCACACACATCAACACATCTGGTGGTCAATGCTCCGGCGGAATGCAATGTTATTCAGTCTACCAAACATCAATCTCTACGTATACTTTTGTAGATAGAAAACAATCTATGTCGACAAAAAGTTCGAGCCTAAATAAAAATAAAAGTCAGCCTGAAATGTAAATAGTAAAAAAGCTCATCAGTGCCGAACATCATTCAGAATTATTCTTTTCTTTTCATTAGACAGCGCAGTCGGGGCTGAGCCGGGCCGGGCCCGATATTAAAGTTTTTCAATCGGGAGCAGTACGGGCGAGCGAGGGCGACACCGGCGCGGCTGCGATCGTCCCAACAGGTAGCAATAAATTAGGACCGAGACAAAGGGAGCTGGTGTATTAAAAGCTCGTCGGGCGGCCGCTGCGGCCTGCGCGTTTACATTGAGGACTATTGTCGGAGTCGCAGTCCGCTCGCGGCGAATTTAATCATTGCACAGCTTGGGGCGGCGGGGGCTGCGGCGGGGGCGGGTGCGGGGGCGGACGTACTGTACGTACACAGCTCGGACGCCGCACTCCTCTAATGAGTCTGCGATTTTTCCTTATTTTCTCGCATCGAGAGGGTTCACTTTTGTTTTTATGTCTTTGTCAGCTCGGCTTATCTCCACATTGGACGCTGGAGCTTTTACGTTCACTCTCTTTTTATTTTTCCTTCGGATAGGAAGCCGGGTCCGATGCGACGCATGACGCGCTATCAAACGGGAACATCTTGATTGACACTTTTCCAAACGAACGAAGATATTCGACAAATATTTTATTTATGTTACATTTATTTTGTATCCTACTGATAGATCTCATAACTCTTACATTATTTCACTCGCACGTGGTGTTTTGAAACATTTTGTATGATAAAATTATGTGCCTAATCGATGTGTGTTCCTATCAGTTTCAACGGAAATGTACGTTAAAATAAGATGAAATTAAAAAAAATAAACTGTGTCTCTTATCAAGTCTACGACAACCACAATGCTAAGGCCTTATGTAATAAAGTGAAGTAAAGGGACATGAGGCGGGGACAGGGGGATGGCCTCTCATTACACATTTTAATTAAGAGCGACGGCGGCGGCGGGCCCGCAGCCCGGCAGCTCGGCAGCCCGGCAGTATAGCACAGGCCGGCGCTCTTTTCTCGTTTATCTCATCTCTTTAGCTTACAGATTACACTCCACTATACCACAGCGAAAAATAATATAATCTCGCGTTTGCTGGTTTATAATTCATGCCATAGGCCTTTACATGTTACATTACAACAAAATCAATAATATAAGACATTGTAATTATTTGCATTACGCTTTAACTTTCAATTCTGTGACTACAAAAATAATTCCGTTAAAAGGTTTGTAAGTTTGTAAACTTCTTTAAACATTTGCACGGTTACAATAAGATAAGATATGAAACGTGCGGAGATCGCACGGCGCGGCGGCGGCGCGGCGGTGAGGCAGCGCGGCGGCGGCGGTGCGGCGCAGGGCGCAGGGCGCAGGGCTCGGCGAGATAATCCCGGAGAGCATCATTTTGTCCTTCTCGCATTCTAATGTAAAGCGCCTGAAGCAAAGTTCGCGGCGACTAAACTCTTTTGTTGACTATTTTATTATGAAAGTGATTTTTGTGAGCTCTATAAAAGTCATTGATTTTTGATGCAATTTTATGGATGTATTTTAATATTGATGGACAATTTATTAATTAACATATGTGCATGTCTGTCCGTGGTACAAACTACAGAGCAGTGACGTCACCTCGGGCGACGCAAGACGGGAGATTTGATGAAAGTGTGCCGCGGCTCGTGCCGTGGATTAAATTAGGTATCTCAGCAAAGCTATAAAACTTTAATGAAGTCGCCGCCGCTAAGTTATAATTTTTTTACGTCATTACATTTTTTACAGGAAATAACAAATACTGATAAATCAGTATTTTAACGAAGTTGTATTTGTTTCAAAATCACTTTTGTCGTTATAAATAGACCTATCCTTTAGTATTTAAAGGTTTGTTGTCAGAGCAACGTCACGTGTTAAAGCAATCAATTCAATGGGCTGTGGGATGGTTTACATTGAGCCGGGGTCCGGGGCTCGGCTGGGTCCCGCGGGACATGCGCTGAGGCGGACATGCTCGGGGGAACGTTTACACAATTGTGTATAGAGTTGTGGGATTTCCGAAATTCGTTTCATGTTAGAGATAAACAATTCATGTTTATTTGGTCCCGCCGATGGAGAAGCACTGCCTTTAATTTTTGATTATCTGTATGAAACGATAAATGAAAATTGTGTAACTTTTAAGGTTAGTTAAAGTTTGAATGTATTAAGTTAGCGTAATGTTAATGATGTCCATTAACCTAAATAGAAAAATGGCAAAACGCTTTTACATTTATTAAAAGGGCTGTCTGAAAACACAACATAAATGTACCTGTGTGTGTAACGGTGCTCTCGTTTTAAAATTTAAAACAACGTTGTGTAGAGCTGAGGAGTGTCGGTTAATATTTGTGTTGTTTAAGTTGTTAATATTTTGTACGGTCGCGGCTCAAACTTTCTGCTACTAATGAGACTCGTGAGTGTTGAGGAGTATGAGAGCGTTTCTTGTGCGGGGTGTCACCGCGGCCGCACACCGGCGCCGCTGTCGACCGCCCTCGTACATCGAAACCATTATTTCGAGAGCGCCATAAATGTGGTACAAGCGATAAGTGCCAGCGGGCACAAAGAATTTTGTAAGTGGGTGTTACAAATAAATTTTTGAAAAGTTTACATAATTAGAGGTGACACAAAGAGCTGCAGAGATTTCACTCTAGTGGTTTTCTAAAAACTTTTCGAATCAAATAACTACATTTGCCCTGTACGATTGAGAATCCCTTTGAATCATTACTTACATTTCCTAGTTTTTTTTTTCTATAGATATTTGTAATAATAAACTTGACAACACGACATCGTTGATTCGCGCTGCTGTTAAATTAGAAATTAAACCTTTTCCGCTAAAGATAGTTTAAAATTTCATATTTCCTAATATGTGTTACTAACTACAAACATCAAAACACAATAAGAAAACGCCAATCGCTTCTGCCTGAGACAGAATTTGAAGAGTGGGAGTCCATTAGTGTTTCTGTTAGCGGAGAAGTCGCGATACAACTTTACGATTGGCGACGGCAGCAGATGGCAGCCTCCGCTCACACTGCCATCTCCTGCCATCGCCCGCCGCTTGCCGCCTGCTGCTACAACACCGCTCGCTTCTAAGTGTTTAACAACCAAAAATTAAACACTGAAAACAAAGCTGTTCATAAGATCCCTCGGCACATAAACTAATATAATCAAATCTATATTTTTACTTCCCCAAATGGACATAAATATAACGGTGTACAGAATTTATACTCCAGTTAGTAGTACGACAAGGGTAGACAATATCAATACGTAACACCCTGTACCGCGAGCTGCCTGACGACTCGGAGGGGAACAGCTTCAAGTACTTATGCTCTCACACTCACCTCTCTACAAGAAATAAACTCTAGTCGGCTCCATATCCACTTCCGTTACTCGAACAAATTCAGTATCATCATAATTGCAATGAAAACAAAGCGAATCATCGACAGCACTCGACTACAGTAGAACAATATAAGTATTTACACAAACGCTGCGTTTATCTCTATGGCGCTCTGCGAGTTCAATAGATTGCATATAGATGAACCACTTTTAGTATGTGATTATCGCCTTTGTTTATAGTTTGTGTCGTTTAATTTCATTGCAAGAGCTGAATTGTTTCCTTTTTTAATACTATCGATATTACCTCGACGACAATCTGAACTTGAATAAGTCAGAACAATTAAGTTGTCTTCGATAAGAGAGCATCTGCTAATGTTTCAATAACTTTGAACGATGCCGATGACGGCTGTGGCTTTGTCTCCGGCTGTCCGGATTTACGCGCTTCATGGAAACAGAACATAATAGTGACCGCCTGCTTTTGAATTGATTTTTTGTTTTTTATTACTGTTATTTAAAAGACAAAGGCTGCCATCAATAGGTATTGTTTGTGTAGGACGGACGCACGTTTATTGCAGCCTTCTAATTAGTACAATATAGTCTCTGTTAGTTCATACTACCATCCATTACTGTCTGGCAAGTTATGAGTATGTCAACTCATTCATCGTATCACTGGACTAGGTGAAACAATTAGGTACAGAAATGTTCAAATTACCATTGAAGGATTATCTACGCATAAACTAGCGAAACCAAAGCGCTAATGTTATGTCTTTTTGATTTTAACAAAAGCCTCTACAAAATTGTTCCTATTGCTGACACTTTCTTAATTATGCGGAGATGTTATTAATGTGGTAGGCGTTTGGAGTGCGAGGACGCGTCGCGTTGACACAACTTACATAATGAGTGGCTCACAGGCAGCAGTGTCACGGCACGGCAGTCGACACAAGCCACGCAACACGCAAAATGACCTTTATCTTGACAAAAATAGAGGTGGTGCGGACGTCGGGTATATTATTGTAATTTGGGAGTTTTTGATTTTTAAGTCCGCTGGTACGAGATTTACTAAAAGTTACTCCACAAGAACGTCATCGTACCTCGAACGTAATTTTTTTATACATACATGTATTATTGATATTTATGTTTACCTTCCTTGATAACAGTAACAACTGTCATCTTGTATTGAATCCTCCACCATTGAGTACATCTCTAGTTCAGTTGCCGTCCCAATTAAATATTTTGAAAACTTATTTGAATCAGTTTTTTTCAAAGTTAACAAGAAAATATAGATAAAAATCACATCGTAGCTTGAATCTAAAACCATTTTTTGTTGTTGTTTAAGATTCAAGCTGCGATATTGATATTTGCATATTTACTATGTACATAAGCTTAATTCAACGGTCTTAACATATAAAAACTAAGTTTTTAATATTTGTACAATTTATCAATGAAACAAGTCGTTCAACTTTTTGTTT